TCTACCGCGATCGTTTTACGCGCTTTGCCTCCACCGATCGTCGTCGATTTCATTTCGCGAACGACTTCCTCTCCCGTCACCTTGAGGGTAGAAATCAGCGAGTTTGATCAGACTGCCAAACTCACTCGAAACGATTTTAATAATTAACTAAACTCGAGTAGGAAATACAGGGGGGGGGGGTATTTCAAACATCGCACATTGTAGTCAATACAAAAATCGTAATTAAAAATTTAGTCATAATCATAAAATAATTTCAGGTGATATTTACATAGTTAAAAGCGCCAAAGGAACATCAGGCAAAGGTTTCGGATCTTCTAAAGTAATTTTGGCTTAAGGCTAGTTTAATCATTTATGCAGATAAGGGACATTCACATGGAATTAATCGCGCATACATTATCGGCAACCATATTACGCTACCAAAGTCCCGCTCGCCGTCCATGGTACGCATATATAATTTAATGTCATCCGCTGATTGCTTCGGAATTCAGGTCACGGCGCGATACCCGTCGCGTGCAATTTGCGCCCGGAGATGCACGTATGCACGTCGCGACGCGATATTCCTCGAGATAATAACGGCGATTTATATCCCGGAATAAGAGCCACTCGGGTTGGACGGGGATCGCAATCGAGGCAAAATCATTTTCAGTCACCGAATTTGAGCCAAAGTGTGTCTCCGAAATTTGATTATCTACAGAAAGGCCGCGCCTCTCGCGTATTATTCCCTCTTTACGAGTAAAAGGGAAACTTTGAAACGTTTATTAAGTTCCGATCCAATTAAGAGATATCCTCCACGATCTTCATTTCAAAGACTCGAATATAAATCATTCACGAGATAATTTTTAGGGATTTTATAAAATATATCGTATAAAATTAAAATTTCAAGTAAAAATAATATTTGTAACGTGTCGGCCTTCCGAATCGTTAGTTCAATAATGTTTTTTTACACCGTTCTACACTTGCATATTTTAACGCATATTCGCAGTTAAATCACCATTCCATTAACAATTTATAGCCGCGAAAAATGTCATTCCGCTTAAAACTCGCACGACCGAACGCCGCCAAAGCCGTACATTACGTGTATTACGTCACATGTAAATTATTTTACCAAAGTCGACGTCGGAGCGATAATTTATCGGCGAGTGTTTCGGATTCCTTTTCGAGTGAGAGCCTAGCGGATTTTCCGCGTACAAAAAGCGGACAAACGAGTAATTTTAATCGCCCCGATTCGCGGCGGATGGGATAATTTCACTCGTTACTTATTCGATTAAATTATTATCTTTACGCCGCGATTCGTTAGCCGCGGGACAGGATGATAGCGCTGTCTTTGCATTAAAATTGCGCCCGGTCGGATGACCCGATAATTCATTTCTAGACGTATATTACGCGGAAGAGCCGGAACGAGTAACTTGCCCTGACACAAAAAGAGAAACTTAATTATGACTTCGCCCCCGCGGCGCCATTGTACGGCACACGATACGACGGGGGCGTTACGCTAAAAAAAAAACCGATATA